GCATTAGTTCATCTTGACTGATGCCCTTGATTCCATAGTATAAATAGAAAAACAGAGATCCGTGACAAGGATTGATTAGCAATCCTCCTTCTAAGAGCAACAGTAAACCTAGCTAGATAAATTGCCACTCTAAAAGCCTGAAAAATGTTAGTAAAAGAAATTAAGGGTGTGCATGTGAGCGTGTGTGTTTAAATAGTGAAATTTTCTGGAAGTACTATAAGGACACAAAGATTCTATTTGGTATGTTTTACTCTCCAGTTTTTATTTAAAAAAAAAAAAAGGCTTACAGGGTTAATGAGCCATGGGGATGTTTATTTGCTTCTCTGTTTACAGGGAATTTTTGTAAGTAAAAGAAAACAAAACCATATTATTGCCATTCAAGTCAGTGTATATATGGTAATATGTGTGTGTTCTTTGTTTTTTATTAAACTTTAAATATAAGATGGGAAGGACTTATGAGAGATCGTTTGATTCCTTCTCTTGTACATTTTTTTCTTTTCTTTTCTTTCTTATTTTTTTTTTTTTGGTACCCAAGATTTAACCCAGGGGACCCCTACCATTGAGCTACATCCCCATCCCTTTTTATTTTTTTTATTTTGAGACACGGTTTGTGTTGTTGAGGGCCTTGCTGAGTTGCTGAGGCTGGCCTCAAACTTGCAATTGTCCTGCCCCAGCCTCCAGAGTACCATTGTGACCTGCCTCCTCTTGCACTTTTAAGCCAATAGATAGGTTAAAAAAACTTCAGCATTTTATATTGTTCACTGTGTGTCAGGCAATGTTCTGAGCACTTAATATATGAGTGTTCCCCCATGTATGATAGGGTTATGTCCTGATAAACTAATAAGTTGAAAGTATTATAAGTTGAAAATGCATTTCATACAGCTAACCTTCTGAGCATCATAAATTGGCAGCAGGGTACACTGCAGAGTGTGGGTTGTTCAGTCACTTGGCTGGCTGAGCTGCCACTTTCCAACTCTGCCCAGCATTGCAAGAGAATGTTCAGTCACCTATCACCAGTCACTATATAAATAAAAATGCAAAGTACTGTCTGCACTAAGTGTATATTTCTTTGTACCATTATGAGGTCAAAGAATCAGAAGTTGAGGACTTCTTGCATATTCACTTATTTAACTCTGGTATGCATTTGAAGAAACAGGTAATGTTATTATCCCTATAGACCCTAAAAGGAAACTCGGATGCTAAGAAATTCAGCAGCTCACCCCATAAAAAATGAATCTGGGATTTGAACTCAGACACAGGTCTGTGCTCTTAGCCATTACATTACCACCTTCCTCTCCCCTCTGTGCTCTGCTTCCCCCTTCTTTCTAGACTTTTTAACCTGGGGTTGGTTTCCACTCTGCTGCCCTTTACCTAATATGCCTTCCTCAGCTTATAGTTTAAGGCTTCTTTTTCTATTTCTCTTTCTCCTGAGAGTGATGAAGAACAGTGTGTCTCCACATTTCCATCACTCTTTGCTGCTCTGCTCTTTCCTCTTCCTGCATTGTGATATCCTCCAACCCTCAAGCCAAGTCTGACTTCTTAAGTTATATTACATCAGGACCAGAAGCTGCTGCTGAAATAATGGCTTGGCCAGTTCCGAGCAAGACATTATTAATAGTGCAATTACCTCATGGTTTCTTCATATATTCTTCATTCCTGTTTACCATATCTTTTTTTTCCTACCATATTTGCAAAATCACATTTGTCTGGCCTTAGACCTTATAATTAGTGATGTGACTGTGTAGTCATGCATGTGTTTCAGATTTCCCAGGATCTTTGAATCTTTACCAGAGTGCACAAACATGCCTCCATGGGGGGGTGGGGGGCATTGCACAGGCTTTATATGAGTTATTTATGACAGTTTTTAAGTAAGTATCCTAGGGTCTCCTGGCTCTCCAGACATACTGCTGCTAATATGTCGAATGTGTAAATTCCCATTGAGAATGAGACTGTCAGAGACAGTTGTATGGTTCAGCTTGATAAATGGGTCCTTTGGACCTAGGTTGCACATTATCTTTTTGACTGAATTCCAGGGAAGAGAATATAGACTGAAACACCATCTCCTACCTCTCTGCAGCACACTCCACCTGGATCCCCCGTGCTCCCTCTCTGCTTGATCCAATCTGGTGGACTCTATTCTCTTTGACAATGAAATCACACTGATGAGTTGTCTGCTTCCTCAGTCAAAAATCATCACTACCTGATTTCCTGGAACCACACTTTGCAAGAGACTTGATAGTGATTGCTGCCTTATTTTACTAAGTAAATAACTTCACCAGATTTTAAATTCAATTTTTTCTCTATCCTTAGCTTTTCATAATAATATTTAACATTTAGAACCCGAGGTTGCTGGGGGTGGGTGATGAGCACCCCAGCCCTCGCATATGCCTCTTGACTGTCCTGCTCTTTATCATCATCACCATCATCATGGTGTTGCTGTGCTGGGGCTGTTTCCCCCTTAATGGGTGACCCCCATTCAGAAGCCCCTAGGCTTAGGACTCACTGCCTCTGCTTCAATGGTTTCAGCAAGATCTTGCCTGTTCCTTCCTTTAAAAATGAAGCACATGCTTGCTGAAGTCCAGTCTGTAATGTCAACTACTATACCCAGATTCCCTTTTGTTTCCTTTTTTTGTTTCCAGAACTAGGGCTAGAACTCAGGTCCTGGCACATACTAGGCAAATGCTCTACCACTGAGCAACATCCCCAGCCCATTTTATTTATTTTGAGATAAGGTCTTGCTAAGTTGCCCGGGTTGGTCTTGAACTTCTGACATTCCTGCCTCAGCCTCCCAGTAGCTGGACTTAGATGGGGGTGCCTCAGTGCTTGGCTTCAGATTCCCTTTTCACCTTCATGCTTATGTTCCTACAGCCTTCTACCCAGACCATAAGACTTTTGGCCAGTGGATTAGGAGAGACGCCGTGTTTTTGTGCCCAGCAGGGCAGCTTAGGTGTTCCTAAAACACCCTATTCTTGCCTCTGTTGTATCATGATAGTATTTTAATTTAGTATTTAATTTCCCTTATGTTCCCTGTCGTGGAATGAGCGCACAGTTTAGGGCTTGGCTTACTGAACCTATACAGTGTTAATCTTTATCCTTTGTCTGTTTATCCACCAAATCATTCAAGATGAGGATATTAGTAGCAATCCAGGAAATCTTTTGATTTCAACAGGCTTTTGGAGTTGACCCAGGACCACACATATAAATGTTTGAAAAAAAATGTAGTTTCCCAACACAGGAATTTTAGTCCAGGTAGTGACCCATACATGTGGGGTTGTATTGAATCCCTTTGTAGTAATAATGAGGGAAAAGGATGTCTTGTGAATCAAATAGGCAGCCTGGTAAAGGACGGAAATGGGACAGGACTTATTTTGGTGATTGACTGAGGATCCATGCCATCAGAGGACTGCATCAGGTCAGTTTGTGTGGTCACAGGAGTCCCAGGTGTTTTGGCAGAGATGTTAGCAGGGGTGCTAGAAGGCACAGGGTCTGTGACAGCTGCATGTGGAATCCCAGGAAAGGGAGGCTTATGTGGGACGACAGGACGAGATGTAGTGTGGGAGAAGGTGGAGGATCCAGGAGATAGTGGCTGTGGTAGAAAAAGAGTGGCAGTTGCTGGAAAATGGCAGCTGAGATCGAGGGAAAAGGGCAGGAGAATCCCTTTAGCAGCACAAGCAGATAGTAGGGCTGGGGAGGCGAATTGCTGGGACCATGATGACTTTGGCAGCAGCCGGTAGCATTGGGGAAGTTGTGTGTATCATACCTGTCAGCTGGTGATTGATGGTGAAATCATGGAATGCCATGGAGCTCGGGTCTGGTAAAAGAATGGAGTAAAGGGTTTGGCCTCACATGCCAGGGGATGAGATCATACTTACACAATGCTGAACAAACAGGATCCAAAGGGTACATCAGAAATGTAATCCATCCTCTCCCCGTGTCCCCTCATTGCCTGTTCCAGCCACTCAGGCTGCCAAGTTTTCTGTTCATGGGTGAAGCCTAAGACAGACTTAGCTGCTTCTTCTGCTTTTTCTCAGATTTGAAAAAACAAAACATAACATTCAGTGGCTTATACCCACACAGTGTCCGTTTGGCAGTTTTTCTGTCTGGTCCCATGTCATTAAAAACACTTGGTTCATTCAAAGTTGGGCTTTTCTCCCCCTCGCAGCTTCTACTTCCTACAGGTGTGAAGCCTGCAGCAGGGAAGAGAGCTGGGTTCAGTTTCTCCCTGGTTCCCCCAACACACTGCCTGTGCTCACCAGCATCCCTGGCCTCTGCAGAGTAGATGGGTGGGCGGGGAGGACAGAGGGTCTTACAGAACTGACATCTGTTGCCATTGACTTCTTTGGGCCTTGGCAGCTGGTAGACTTGCCTCATTCTTTTGTGGGCTCTTTTATGGATTCTTTGGAGAGTCTCATCCCCCTCCAGCTCTGTACTTCTCTTACCTGTTTGCCTTGACTTAGGCCAGGATGGGATTGCACCTTCTCTTTCATCCTAGTGGTGTGCTGCCAAGGTTTCCTGACAAGGTTGGTCCAGGCAGTCTTTGCTCAGATGAAGATCATGTTGGTTTTGTAGTACTGAGGAGAGATCTGGGTGGAAATATAGTGGCTAACACAGGTGAGAGCAGGAAGTAAAAATGTGGGGACAGCTGATCTGCAGGTGGTAGTTGAGGGTAAGAAGGTGGACATTGTTGGCCAGAAAGAGATAGTGAACCTCACAGAGATAACCTGCATTTGAAGACAGGGGAAGAAACAGTTTCTGGCAAAGAAAGCAGATGTATCTAGAGTATTAACTCTAGAAAAGGGGACACTGTCTGGGAGTCAGCCAATAATTATGTATCTTAATATGCTTATCCCTTATCAAGAAAATAGAACGTATAATGCATTTGTTTTTATTATAATTGTGTAAGGGCCCTACACTGCTTTCTTCCTGTTTTGAACAGATGTCATTATTATGGTAGAATTTCTAATTCTTTGAAGAAAAACTTTTAACTCTTCTCTTTACAGTTGTGTACGAACATAGATCAAGATTAGAGAAATCCTTGCAGAAGGAAAGACTTGAACATAAGAAAGCAAAGGAGGGTAAGTAAATTGTGCCATGTGTCTTCTGTACTTTTTGTACAATTTTAAAGCATCATGGGCTTGATTATGACTTTTATTTATTTATTTTTTGGCTGAAATATTTTCAAATCAACTTGAAATCAGTGTTCTAGATAGAGAAAGAGATATGCTAAGCATTGTGCAGCTATTCCTGCTTGAGATTACATTTGGAATCTTGTTTGTACCACCTCAAGGTAATTTATATATTGGTTATGTGTATTATTTCAGAAGTAAATTACTTTTTATCTGAATGTTATATATATATATATATATATATATATATATATATATTAATTATTAACATCTGGAACTTCTGTCCCAGATGGTGGGAGATAGCAAGCCTTATTCAGTAGATGACACTTTTGAGAGACATATAGATACCCATGTATAATACAATGAATAGATCACACTATCTGCTGTCTTTTGAATTAAATATTTCTTTTTAATCCCTGAAACCCTTTATTGGCACAGCTGATTGGTTCGGTTTGAAAAAGTAACGTTGTATGCAGGTTTTAGGCAATGCTGTTGATTTTTGTTAGGATTTTCCTATAATGTACAACCCTCATCCAGCTCATGGTTTGAAGTTAAAGTACAGTCTTATTTTTAGTTATTCATGTTTTGTTATAAGTCTTGAAAACAGAGTCAATATTCTGCCTGAACCCTTGGTAGGGTAGAAAGGCAAGTGGGGAGGTTTATATTGGTTGGGAGCTTGGCTGACCTTTCAGTTGGGCCTGTGTGAAGAACAGAAGTTAACATCATTACAGTGCTCTGAGAGGATGTGAGTCTTCTTGTCTTCAAATGCAGAGTGATTTTATAGAGCCATCTAGTGGATAATAAAGTTTTCAGAGCACTAAAGATGGCTTGGATGGCTTGATTTCTCTTTTTAGGGCCTGAAGAATTTTAGTATGCCATCTAGTGGATAGCCATAAATCACCCTTGTCTTCAGATGTGCAAGTATTTCCCCCCTCAATTTCAAAACAAATTAACCACAGAGAGATTCTAAGTGCACTTTTAATCAATTGGTTTTAATGTGAATTTTGTTGATGCAGGATTTACAACTACAAGGTAAGGAAGAAGACTGTAATGTTTTCTTCAAAATTTTCTAAAGCATTCAGAGGTAGTATAAAGCATGTAAATCATCAAGTAGATTGATTTAAACCTAAAACATTTTTTTGCAAGTCTGAGTAGTTTGCCTTTATTCTTCTAGATGTTTTACAGTTCTACAGTGAATGAGCTTATACTCTATTTTCTCCATTTTGTCTCCTAGATTTCCTTGTTTATAAATTAGAAGCACAAGAAACACTAAATAAAGGAAGAGTAAGTGTTTTTTGTTTGTTTGCTTTTGTTTTTTCTCCCCTTAATTTGTTTTCATGAAACTTGAAGGAAAGAGAAATACAATTGCAAAATATTTCATTCTGTTGATCACTAGGACTGTAGGACTGACAGAAATTGTTTTTTCTTTTGCTATCCAAAAAGCTCTAAGAGGAAGTTCTTAAAATACGTTGTTTTTTAAAAATCTACCTTTACTTATCACATTATTGATGATAGTGTTAAACTGAGAATAGCTTCAATGTTTAACAATGCAGAGAAGATTATTTTTATTCACTCATTTATTTGTTTACTGAATTTCTTGTTATAGGATGTCATGCTTTGCTTAGGTTTTGCAAGTGTAATCTTGACACAAGACCTGGCCTAGAGTTGGCATTTAAACACAATTGTGCAATGAATAAGGGAAGGAAGGAATGATATTGGCATTTAAAAATATTTGTTAAGTCCAAATTTACTAGAGAAAAGCAAGTCATTCTCTTACTCCTAGAAAAATATTCAAGCCTTAGTTGAATAAAATGCTAGTGTTTGGGGGTATTAAAACTGAGAAAAGTCAGTTCTTTGAAATGCCTAGGAGACCTTCAGCTTTCAATTCTTACTTGATTTTAAAGCCTTAGCCAAAACCATGTGCATGCAATCTATTCTACATTTTGTAATGTGATTTTCTTTATAAGTTAAAGTCATAAGGCAGTGAAATAAAATGATAAAGCAAAAATGTAGCTTATTTTAGAAGCTGTGAGCATAAGAAAAAACAGACTTAAAAATATACTTGTGTTGGTGATGAAGAAAAGCAGGGGTGTGTTGGGTGTAGGTAAATCATAATAGCGAAGGGAGGGAACATTCCAGGTGTCTTTTGTATACTGACTAGATGTGGCTGCCTAGGATAGTGGCAGTGTGTGAGGCCCCTACATGCAGATGCTCCACTGGACCCGAGATCTGCACCCCTGAAACATGGACCAGAACATGCAGATGAGCCACAGGCTTAAGCTCAGGTTCTGGCCCTGGCTCTGCTGCTTAATGAAGCATTTGCCCTGGACCTGGTCCTTGGCCTATCTCCATTTCCCATTCTGTGGTAAAATCCATCTATGTTGAGTTTCTTACCCACCAAAAATGAGAGAAGGAACCTATCTGTTCTCTTCCCTCCCTAAGTCGTGCTGAGCTTGTGACACCTGGGGTGCAGTTGACATGTCCCCTTTCCCCCCTTGCCTGGAGCACCCAGAGCAAGGTATTAGCCATGTGCCGTGATCATGTGTCTCACCAGTTCCTCCCTGTGTCTGGGCCTTGCTTGGTTCTTCAGACTATGAGAGGCAGAGCTCAATTATCTCTTTAAGGGCCCTGCCATCCTTTCATTTTATGATTCAATGTCCCACATTTTCTTCTCTAAAATCTAGCAAACCTATGAGAATATAAAAATTTTATTTCTGCTATTAAATAGAGAGGTAGCCCTTAGAGACATCCGGTTTCAAGCATAGAATTCCACTTTTATCTTATACATGTGAAATAAATGAAAATCTTTTATTAGGACCTTGAAGCTGTCTTTAGCAAGAGAACCAGATTAGTTTCCTTTTGTTGACTTTTTTTTTCCAATTTACAGCAAGATTCCAATAGCAGATACAGTGCATTGAATGTCCAACATCAGATGTTGAAAGTGAGTAATTTAAAGTTGTTCTTCATGAATAAATGAAAGGATTAGTTAATATTTGGACTAATGATCTTTAAAGTGATCAAAGAAAGTTTACAGAGGGTTGGTTGTGTTATAGTATGTTAAAGACATATTCAGTTAAAAATTATATATAGTCGTAGTATCCCAACATACTATTCACGAAGAACATGTTTGATGGATCACCTGATTTCTTCTACAATAGGCTCTTTGGGCCCCTCATTTCCTATTTTGCTGGGTTTTTAAAAATATTTTTTTAGTTGTAGATGGACACAACCTTTATTTTATTTATTTATTTTTACAAGGTGCTGAGGATCGAACCCAGTGCCTCACGCATGCGAGGCAAGCACTGTACCACTGAGCCACAACTCCAGTCCTATTTTGCTGCTTTTATTGTTAAAATTGTTTATTTACTTTCTCAGTGATTTTCCTCAGGCATTTTCTTTTATCTAAGACAGCCTGGAGACTGTAGAACTCTTAAAAATGCTTCCTTTGTGCTACCAATATTTAATAAATGTACTTTTACCTACCACAGGAACACAGTTTATTATTTAAACATTCTCCTTCCTTGGTCCTCGGGTAAAACTCATTACTGTGGGTCAGGAAGACCAAAGGAAAAACCTCATTGTTTCTGTCAAGCTAGAAGAGATGAGCATCACGTCTGTCATTCCACAGGGCGTGTACAAATCCTGCCATCCACTCCTTCCCGCCAGCTCTTTGTTTTGTGTTTTCTTTTCCCCATATCAGTAGGGCACAGGCTTTTTATTGAAACCAGAACCTTTCCCATTATCGTGAGTGCAGTACATAACTTAAAGTTGACTGTCATTTCTCAATAATCATTTGGAGGCTGTGGCATTTAACTGAACTATGATTTCATATTGGGTTATAATAAAAAGAGGGTAAATAGAAATCAATTCTAGAAATAATTGACTTATTACCTCCTGAAAAAGGAAAAGAGTCTGATTTGTTTATTTTTTTCTCTTTATTAAACTGATTTACTTGAAAGGCTGAAAACCAAAGAAGAGAAATTTGGCCCTGTGTATCTGTGGGTTCTGCATCCATGTATTTAACCAGCCTGCATGTTTCTGGAATATTTGGGGAAAATTGAATCTGTAGTGAACACATACAACTGTTTTCCTTAGCATTGATTCCCTTTATAATATAGTAGGGATTTAAATAGCATTTACCTTGTATTAAGTATAATAAGCAATCTAGAGATGATTTAAAATATGGGGTGGGAGGACTCTGCAGAAGTTATATACAAATACTGTGCTATTAAGAGACTTGAGTGTCTGTGGCTTTTGCCATCCAAGGGGTGTCCTGGATCCAATCCTCCATGAATACTGAGGGTGTTGCTGGGAAACTAACAGATTGAAAAGAAGAAAGTTATAATATTTGTGGAGGGTAATTAATTAGCTTTATCTCATTTCCACAGTAATTTGAGTCCCTCAGACTTTCTCTAAATCCCTCCCTTTTCCATCTATCATGCTAATTTCTTGTTTTTTTCCAATGATGCTAAAAATTAAGGGAAAAATTATTTTTGGCCTTGATCTAAATTATTCATTTGAAATATGGAGGAAATGGGGGATTGCTACACAAAGGATCACCAAGCTGAGGAGAACAAAGCCAGTGTCTGCATTTGTTCTCACTTCATTCAAGAAAAAGTCAGGAAATGGGTTGTTAAGCTAGGTGTGGTTGTGCATGCCTGTAATTCCAGGGACTGGGGAGGATCACAAGTTCAAGACCAGCCTGGGCAATGTAGCAAGACCCTGTCTTAAAAAGTGAAGGGGATATATCTCCATCGTGTTCAGGTGTCCCAGGTTCAGTCCCCAGTACCACGATAAAAAAAAGAAAGAAAAGAAAAAAGGGTGTTATATGATTTAGAGAATGTATATCTCTGCTCAAGTTTTTGTCTTGCAGAGTCAACATGAGGAGCTGAAGAAACAGCACAGTGACTTGGAAGAGGAACATCGTAAACAAGGAGAAGACTTCAGTAGAACATTCAATGACCACAAGCAGAAATACTTGCAACTTCAGGAAGAAAAGGAACAAGAACTTTCTAAGCTAAAAGGTATTTTGAAAATCAAATTAGGTAGATGATATGTAAATAAGTAGTCATGTGAATGTTTCTGTAGAATAATACATTTTCATCTTGTTTGTTTTTGTGTGGTGATTGATTTCCATGTATCTTGTGTGCCTTTACCAGCTACTTGCTTCTTTGTAACTTTTCGTATTTATCTTAATGGATTTGTACAGGGAAGCAAAATAAATGACTCGGCCTAGTCTATTCTATTTCAGTGGGGCATATGGCCAATTTGGGCAAGACAGTTCTCTGAATGTGTGTTTTGAAACATTTAGCATCTTAGATTCTCTACCTGCTACATGTCTTCTGTGTTCCTTAGTTACTGTCATGATCAAAAATTGCTCCATACAGTTCCAAAACTCCCCAGGGTTTGCAGGGAGACCTCTGGTTGACAACTGAGAGGAGCTACAAAAAATTCAGTCTCTAGTTGTAGACTGCTGTGAACCTGGGCTTTTTCAAAGACTAATGTGATAATGGGCAAGTTGTGTTATCACCAAAGACTTCATTGTCCTTATCTGTTAAATAAGGATGACCATAAATGTATCCACCTAGTAGGGTATGGTGTGAGCAGGTAGAATAGTGATTAGCAGACAGCGCATTCACTTCGCTAACACCAGGGGCAGATGTTTTCATAGTAATAGGGAAAAAAGGCATTACTTCTTTGAGTATGAATGAGTTCAGGAAACAAGTGCATTCTGCAGTCCAATGCATTAGCACTAAGTAAGTTCGGAGTGTGAATAGTGGTTTTAAAAGATACTTGGTACATGCAAAACCAGTTGTGAAATCTGAATAAGGCTATAATCATTTGTACTATGCAAACAAGTGGTATGGTTTAGATGAAGTATCCCCCAAAAGCTCATGTGTGAGAAGTAGGCCACATTTACGAAGATTCATGGAGGAAAGCTGGGTGATGGGCACATATGGCCTCTCTATACTTTTATTTTGTCTATAAATATCCCCCCCCCCAAAAAAAAGAACAAACTATAACAAAAGCCCTGTAGAAATAGGTAAGCTATGACTGAGGCAATCGTAGGAAGGGTTAAGGTGTTCTTGCTAGTTGGGCCAGTGTTAGCAGGTGGTACCCAAGACAGTGAATGTGTCCTTGGCATGTCTATCATAGTGGGCAGGTGGTGAGGGATTATTGGATACGGAAAACAAGAAAGACTAAACACTGGAAGCATTACAAAAGGTGGCATAAAGGAAGAGAAAACCAGAGGATTCTAGTGTCTGGGAAAGTCACAGCTTTGTGTGGAGGGGCAAGAGATATTAGCTTGTGGATACACTGTTTAGTATTTGCTAACTTATGTAAATTCATTAAAATATATGGATAATACATAGATCCAATAAGAAATGAGACTTAAAATTTTCTAGAGGCCTGATTTATACTTCGGTACATTCAACTTCAGCAATAACACTGAAAGACAGGTTTTTTTTAGGTCTTTTTACCCCTTACTCTTAAAATTCTTTTTAGTTATACTTGACAGTCTACTTTGACATATTTATACAAACATGGAGTATATCTTATTCTAATTAGGATCCCTGTCTTGTGGATGTACATGATGTGGAGATTCACTGTGGTATAGTAATATATGTTCATAGGAAAATTAGGTCAGATTCATTTCCTTTATGCCACCTTCTGTGAATGCTTCCAGTGTTTAGTCTTTCTTGTTTAACCACCTTAATCCTTTCCTATTTCCAACCCCTCCCTTCCCTTCATTCCCCTTTGTCTAAACTACTGAATTTCTTAACTTTATTGTTTTAGTTGTGCTTTTTGTCACTATGACCAAAATACCTGTCAAGAACAATTTTAGAAGAGGAAAAGTCTATTTGGGGTCATGATTTCAGAGGTCTCAATATGTAGACAGCTGACTCCACTGCTCTGGGCCTGAGATGAGGAAGGACATCATGGCAGAAGAATGTGGTGGAGGATAGTGACTTAGGACATGAGACCAGGAAGTGGAGAGACTGAGAGAGCTTTCCTCACCATGGACAAAATATAAACCCCAAAGGCATGTACCCCCAGTAACCCACCTCCTCTAGCCACACCCTGCCTTCCTACCATCTCCACCCAGTTTGTTCCTATCAGTGAATTAATGCACTGGTTAGGTTATGGCTTTCATAACCCAGTCATTTTACCTCTAAACTCTCTTGCATTGTCTCACACATGAGCTTTTGGGGGACACTTCATCTAAACCATACCACTTACACAGAGCAGAAAGCAGAACTGGGGAAAATAGTAGGACATGTAGGTGGGTTCTGAGAACTGAGCCTCATAATCTGATCTGAACTTCCTGGCACCCAGGACAAAAGGGGAAATACAGTAAGTATTGGGGGTTCAGTCATCAGAAAGAGAACATACCGGTGAGTTAGGAGAACAAAGACAGCAGTACTTCTGATACCAATTTTAAAAGAAAAGTTTTCTGGAGACCTGAAACAACCGAGTGTGTACAGTGACTTTGACACTTTCACAGACACTGTTCACACTAGCACCTTTGTTTGATTATGACTTGACAAAACCACAGGACAGTAAGTTAAAGCACCTTGTGATCAGTGCAGGTCAGTGGTGGCCAACTAAGTTGTAGAGTCCAAGCAATCTCTGGTAGTTGGATGTGATACAAGGAGAGAACTTGGGACTCCTAGCAAGGAGAGCCTGTAGCACAAAGCTAAGATAATCACCCTTCATTATCATCATTCTCATCACCAGCACGGAACCAAGCGAACCTCTTCATGTGGATGATCTCATTTAACATAACTGAGGTGTGTGTTGCTCAGCCTCATTCAACAAATTAAGACGTAGAGGCCTGCTCTAGTTAAACAGCTAGCTTAGGGAAGCCCAGCAAAGGCCCAGGGGCCACCACCATTAAGTTTATAGCCTGAAATTTCTTCAAACACTAGCACAGTTTTGGTATTTCAAATGTGTGTTGTGTTAGACTGAAGGCCACCATCCGATGGCACACATCATAGAGTCCTCTTAGATTGCCAGTGGTATCCGGTTTTTACTCTTGAGAAAATCCATTTTTACATGTAGGTGTGCTACCCAGTTACTAGCCACACTTCCCACCTGATTCCTGATCTCTCCCCCAAACCCAATCACGAATCCAATGTCCAGGGATCAGGAAGGGACTGTAAGGGAGTAAAAATGATCAGAGCTTTATGAAAGCTGGTGATTAATACTTTCCTTCCGTACGAAGCATACCTGGCGAGTTAGAGCCTTGGCTGAAGGAGATGGCTGTTATTAGCGACAGTTTGCCCCAGGAAAGTCCAGGTTCATACCTGCTGTCCCAACTAGGTGATCATAGAACCCACTTTACATCTCCAAAGCATCTCTCATTGGAAAATGATTATTTAGCCACCATACTAACACTCAGTTTCTGCACAGTGTTTTGAACATGAGAATTGGTCCCGTGTTGCTGGATTTTGTCAGAATCAGTTTCTTTATTTTGAAATGGTGGTGATGTGAGAGATACTATACAGGCCAGCATTTCAGGGGTCAGATGATATTTGTGGGTTGAATTTGGCTCAGCAACTGTCAGTTCTTCATCTGCAATGCCCAGATACAGGAAGTGATGAAAATCCACCAAGGTGATAAAAGAGATGGATCTAGAATCTTTAAGTGAAAAGTTTTCCCTGAACAGTAGTGCTTGGGAGAAGAGGACTTCATTCTGACTGCTACAGTCTTACATTGTTGCTCTGAAAACAAATAAACAAACAGAAATAACTGTCATATAGCTATTAGAAGTTGAGCTTGGATTAATTAAGAATTCAATGGTAAGAAAAAGAAAACATTTAGTTTTTTCACAGATAAGTAGGATTTCTCCTTGTCTGTCTGTAATTTTGTGAGCTGCCTTTGTAATTGAAGTACCTTTAGAGGACTATGCAAATTACACCGTGAGAAATAGAGTCTGTACTTGCTGATAACTTTAATTTGTGAAAAGACTCAAATCTGAGACCATTCCTGCGCTTTACATTTTATTCCTAAGGGCTTGCTTATTAACATAAATATTTCATTTTTAATTCATGTTTAGTTAAAAATTTTTAATTTTCATCTACAACACATAGCTTATGTAAAAGTAAACCACTGAGCTAGGTCCAGACAAATCCCCGTTATATCCCAACATCATGTAGTTTTTGTTGATTTGAATTGTTATCCTATCAAAATTCAAAGCAAATCCTAAAAATAAGTTATATAAGGCCAGACATGGTGGTATATGCCTGTAATCTCAGCCTCCACAATTTTAGTAGGACTTTGTCTCAAAAATAAAAAGAATATAAATGGCTGGAGATGTAGCTTAGTGGTATAGCACCCCTGGGTTCAGTTTCCAGTACTGGGACAGAGAGAGAGTGTGTGTGTGTGTGTGTGTGTGTGTGTGTGTGTGTGTGTGTGTGTGTATGTGTAGGGGGTGGAGGAAAGATAGAGGCTTCAGATTTAATAAAATCAAAAACCTGAGAATTTCAAGGCTTTATGTGTGTGTGGTTTTTCTTTTCCTTTTTCTAAAATAGAAACTGTGTACCACTTGAGAGAAGAGAATAGACAACTAAGGAAAGCTCACCAAGACATACATACCCAGCTTCAAGATGTCAAGGTAAAATTTAACCAGACATTTGCCTTTTGGGTGTTTGCCTGCTATACTGTGTAGAATGACTTTAAAAGTCATCCCCTAATTGACCTGCTTTACAAATCCAGACTGTGACTGTGGGCTTTGCATAACTGGAATGTACTTGATACGTTCGCCCTTTAGTATTGTAAGCTAAAGGTGGTCCGAAAATTTAAGTATTTTCATTAATACTGAAATTATTCTTTGGTCAGATGGTTGCATATTAACAAGATTTTTATTGGCAAAGGCTTAAAAATAAAGAGAGATTTGTTGCTTTGGTTTTGATTTCATTGTAAATGGTTATAGTTGGGTAGCACATTTGAGATTTTGGAATACCACATAAATCATAGTCTTCTCTCTCCAATAATTTTTAAAGGCAACAATTGCTGCCACAACAAAAAAACAAGCAAGTAACATTGGGATGGTCATACCAAAGAAGAACTTGTCTTATAATATAAAGTTCAACGTGTAAAATTCTCTTTTGTATAGCAACAGCATAAGAATTTACTCTCCGAGCATGAACAACTTGTAGTGACTTTGGAAGACCACAAGAGTGCACTAGCTGCTGCACAGGTTAGAAGGGTAGCAGCCTCTGTGGGTTCTTTTTACAGTCTGCTTAATATTTCTGAATTCCTTTATGCATGTGGACTCTGACAAGCCAGTGAGTTACTTAGGACAGAGCTATCCTAATCCTGAGCATATTGCATGCTTTTAAAATTCACTCTAGAGAATATTAAATAAATTCTTGATGATTCTTTTTTTTGCACTGGTGATATGGTACATCTGACTATTTCTACCTCTATCGGATCCTACATGCAGTTATCTAATATTTATTTAAGTCACAGATTTTTGTCCTGTACATATGGCCTTTCACAACTAATCTGATCTGTGTCAACTCTTGGCATAGAATCTGTAGGATTTTATGATGCTAGCCACCTAAATAAATCATTGTTGGACTTTCTTCTCTCCCTTCCTCATTCCATCTTGCACACACTCCTTTTGGGACAAGGCTTATGTGGTATTGGTCAAAGTGCAGAAAAGCAGAAGGGTCAATAGAGAAAGAAAAACAAGAGTCATAATCTCCATTTGTTCAAAGCCTGGAACAACTCCTGGTACAGGCAGGCAGGCCCTCGGCATATATTTACTGAATGAACAAGAACAAATACAATTGTTACAGAACTTATTAAAGTGCTGCTGTGTGGAGTGCTTCTGGTAGAAGCAAAGAAACAGGAATGGCTAGTTTAGTCACTGTGTTCAGCCAGGTCTTCACTTTTCTTCCAATTGAAGGAGTCACAAGAAAAGGGCAAAAGGAAACCACGTATCTGCTTATCAAGAGGCTATGCATTATTTTTGTCTTTATAAAATTTTTAAGCAGTATACTATATTAGACTCTGACCCAGCTCAGAGGCTGTAGCTTCTATCTTTTGTTTTTTAAAAGATGGTCATTATTAACTGGTTATCTCTACTAAACTGTTGCTGTGTGGTAATTTTTTACATGTATGTAAATTAAATTGACTTTAGAGGAGATTATTTCTTTCCAAATCTTCTTTGTAAACTTTTATCAAGTGTTATTTTATGTGAAGCAGTTCTTTATACTGTAAAATGTGGCAAACAGATTTGAACACTGTGTGTAAAATATTAGACTAAGCCACAAATCTGAAAATCCATGCAAATATAAGTGAAACCGTTGATTTAACAGCCAAAAACAAATTCTATAATATATACACTGTCTGTATTAACTTTGTATTTTTTGTAAGAGAAGAAATATTTTATGTGTAGTTGTCTATTTTCCTTTGTTGGGAGGGTGCTCCAAGTTTTTCCTATTCTTTTTTAAATAGTTATATAACTAGGTACAATAGTTAATTAAAGCCATATGTCTTAGTTTGAGCTGCTGCCATGAAACACCATAGACTGTGGCTTATAAACAACATACATTTATTTCTCGTAGTTCTGGAGGCTGGAAGTCCTAGGTGAGGATGCCAGCATGATCAGATTCTTATGAAGTCATCTTCCAGGTTGTAGACACTTGACTTCTCTGTGCATCCTCACAAAGCAGAAAGAGACTGAAAGAGCTATCAGAACCCCTATCATAGGCACTAATCCATTGGTGAGGGCTCTGTCCTCATGACCTAATTAACTTCCAAAATCCCCACCTTCTGATACCCTCACATGTGGGGTTAGGATTTCAGTATGTGCATTTTGGAAAGATACAAAGAATTAGTCCATAATCAGTCCATAACCATGTTAGAACTTTCCTCAAATCTCTTCAGATGGGGGCTGGAAATATACTGTTTCAGGCATGTGCATTTCTCATGTAAATCATCTCAGGAGATTCTGTCTTGATAACTTGATTTTAATGTATAGTTAAGATTTTAGGGGCTCCAGATGTGGCCTCTCCTGGCATGCGTGAGGCACTAGGTTCAATCCTCAGCACCACATAAAAGAAAATAAAGATATGTGTTCAACTAAAACTAAAATATATTTTTAAAAGAATTTTATTTATTCTTCATAATCCAGTGAGGCATGTAACATTTTATAACCAAAAAACTGAGGCCAAAAGGGAAGTCAAGTGGTTGACCCAAGATTAGTGACCAGGAGTCAGACTTGAAGCTCAGGTCTTCCTGGTATTGAAGTGAGACCCCAACCCCCATCAGCCCCTTCAAATCATTATTTCTAGGATGAGAGTCCAGTGATGTCCACAGGCCAGGTGGTGGTGCACTGTTATACAAATTTTATGATGGTGCTCCTTTGACATAGATTTAGCAAGCTAACTTCTTTACTTTTATGTAAAGTTTTTAAAAAAGCAGAAAGACACCTCTTCCTAGGGGAAGAAAACTGTGGGCAGTGTGCAGGGCTGTGGCCACAGAGGTCTGGCTCCATGTATCTGCTCTGCACTCTCCAATGAGGGAAGCAGCCTTGCCTAGGGATTTTGTTTAAGATTTCTGTGTTCTTTGTATGTGTTTATGTCAGTGCGTGTTTACACACACAGCATTTCTGCTTGCATGATAACAGAGTAGGTATATATGATGAGTTATATATACAGTGTCTGTTGATTTATTTTCTACCTTTCCAGCTCCTAGTATTAAAAACATTACAGCCACACACACACATGTATCCCCCCAACAATTCCCACAGCATAAATCACACAGGTTTTCCTATATGAGTGTATTCCAGTTCTATTCTATAGCTGCATCACTACCTTTGTCACTTTGAAAGAAAAGGACATTCAGAATTGGGGAACAAAAATCCAGCTTTATTTCTTGCCTATTTCTCTCTGCTTTCAAAAACAAAACAAACAAACTAACTAAAAAACAGAACACAGCATCAGAAGTGTTTTAGCAAGGCAGGAACCCTGTTTGAGCTCAAACTAACTAGCAACTTGGGTAGTGAGAGAAGCTTGCTTGAACAATTATGTTACACACACATACACATGCATATATTTATTTTCACTGAAAAATGTTACTCAGGCCATTATTGGTAAAAGATATATGCACCTGTATTTGTATAACTGTCAATTTTTAATAGATGTTTGAATGTGATAAAACTTGGATTGCATAGCTGTTTTACTTTTCATAATTATAGAGGAAAGTTATTTACAAAAGTTCTCTCTGTTTCATGTAGCATAAAACTAACATTTATCTTGGATACTTTTTCTGTTTCCTTTAACTCTAATTTGCATGTGCTCAAAAATGGTTAAGCATGTCTAAGGAAGAATAGTAATGCATGAAAATAATCCACATATTTGTATTTAGGTATAATATTTTTGTCTAGTCCTCCAGTGAACCTAAATGCTCATCTATGATTGATATTTTTTCCCTCCTCAAATTGTGCAATTTACATTCAATTGTGCAATTTATATGCAGACTCAAGTTGCAGAATATAAGCAACTGAAAGATACTCTGAATAGAATCCCAAGCTTTCGAAATCCTGAAATAGCAGAGCCGCAGAATGCTACCCTTACCCAGGTGGCACGTTCTCCACGAGGTTACAATGCAGCAAGGGAGCAGCCAACCAGAGAGCCACAAGAGGTGAGAGGCAAAACTCGTGATAACTAGATCACTTTCCTTGTCAGGCTGTCACGGGGTGAACCACTCTCAATATCGCTCACTATAGAGAAGTGTTCAGAGAAGTTTTAGTGTATATCAGAATTCTCCATAGGGATTGTTAAAGCTCAGGCTGAGCCCCAGCCCCACAGTTTCCTTAACTTACAAATTGAGTTATTTTGGGGTGAGGCCTGAGGATTTGCATTTCTAATTCAGATTCAGCTGGTCTGGGGAGAAGTTTGAGAGCTGCTATGGTAGTGTTTTCTGGAAAAGATTTTCCTGGCTTTGTCTTTTTCATGTGGATTTATCTTAAAGGAATTGTAGTGTCTGAGTTTTTCAAGGTCAGTGGATATTTTTCCCTCTTTAAGATAGTGTGAGAAGGTCAAATGATCATGAGGATATTATGTGACAGCCCACCCAAGTATTAAAGTTAATATATTTGACCTTAGTGCAGTACTGGGTCCATACAAAGCTGGTCAAAATTTGCATTAAAACACTGCCTGATGTATGAGTGCTGGTCCCATAATGCACTTTATTCTTATTTTTCATAAAAATTAAACCTGGATTAAGAATATTTCATAAGGGGGACATCAAAAGTATTGCCCTCCTTATCATTAATTCTTACATAGTTGTTTTTCAATCATGTAATTAATGAAAAAATGAGAAATATTGTTATCTTCCCCCTGACAAAGTTATTTTCAACAATAAATGTTTGAGAAGACCTTCCTGCTTGTGGAAATAGTGGAGTTGATGTGACTGGTTAATAGGCAGGCTCAGTGTCCTCATGATTCTTGTTCTCCTTGGACCCTATGTTAGCTGCTAACTTAAGAGAGTGTGTCCAGATCACTGGCCTGGCATTTGATTCTGTTCTTTCCTAGGGTGACTCTGTTCTAGTTTCCTGGATTCATATTCTGATACTTCAGAGTTTTAGTTTGTCCATCTGAGCATTGGAGATGGTAGTTATTTGCTCTCACCTCCTTCACAGGGATATTGCAAAGATAAATGACCAGTGTTTCAAAGCACTTAGAGCCCTTGAGAGAAGTATTTGCAATAAAGCCAGGGCAGTGTTATGTCAAACTTTCCAGATAGTTAAGGGCCTTGGTAAAATGTACACCTATGAAAGTTGCCTAAGAAAGGGTTTTTCTCTCCTGTGTATTATTTATGTAGCCCAGCTTCTCAAGCTTGGTAATTATATCTCTGCTTGTCTGTGAATAGTGTTTTCACAATCATTTCAATTTGAGAGAGTAATCTCACTTGAAGAAGTTATGTATTTCCTGATGAAAAAGATTGAGGGTAAAGGGCATGACATACTCTCCTATCAATGCTGTATCACTTTCCCCACAGCTTCCTATTACTCAAATCACATAGAAATGTCTGAAAGTTAAAGTAAAAACTGATTTGAACCAATCAGTGAGAAGTATTCTTCCAAAAAAAAAATTATTTTTATTTCTTTCTATTCTGAGTTTTCTATGTTGACAATACAAAATATGTACAAAAGACCCTTTGTGGTTTCAATTTTTTTAAATGCATTAAGAATATTTTATTGTATCTTGTTTAACAGGCATTTTTAAAACAACAGAGATACCCATTAGTAATGGCAATCTCTTTTAATTACCAGTAAACCAAACTAATAAAAAATAAACCCAATTCCTCTTCATTTGCATCTTTATCTTCTCTTTTCAAGTAATTAATTGCAAATCAAATTTACATAGAAAAAATTGTGAAAACATTTCATCACTTCAAGGTTTTTTCCTTTTTTATTCTGAGGGAAAGTAGGAGAGTTAGGTTGCTTTTTTGGGAAAGGTTTACTTCTGAGGTGTGGCTGCTTAGAGGATTCACTGCCCTGGTTATTGACTGTATTCTTTGGAGATGAAATTTTGCCCGTATTCTCTCCATCTTGTAGCTGAGAATATACAGTGGAATTTAAGTAGCTCCGCTGCTCATATCTTTTTAAGTCAGGAGACTATGTATATTTCAAGACTCCAGAATTTTGCTTATATTGTACCTCCAAGGACATGCTAATGAATGATATCATTGCTTTTGAAAAGGATGAGCAACATTTCCTATGGTTTGCTTGCCTAGGTGTCTCGATATAGCAATGTGTGGCAGAAACATGAAGCAATGCCGAGAAGATCAGAAGACGCAAAACCTTATTTCCCCACCCAGAAAGAGGCACATTTTCAGACTGTGGCCCAGCCTAACCAACAAGTGATACCCCCAGAGCCAGAGGCACATCAGGTGGAAGAGGAGCACAGAAAAGCCCTGGAAGAGGAGGAGATGGAGCAGGTTGGGCAGGCAGAACATCTGGAGGAAGAACATGATCCCTCACCAGAGGAGCAGGACCGAGAGTGGAAGGAACAGCAGGAACGAAATCAGGCAGCCAACCTCCTGGAGGGGCATGCTCAGGCTGAGGTGTGGTCACCCACCCACGTTCACTGGGATGGGGAACAAAAATAAAGTGGATCTTAAGTTTTTTTTTTTTTTTTTTTTTTTAAAAAGGGCCAGACTGGGGCTGTAGCTCAGTGGCAGAGCACTTGCCTAGCATGCCTAAGGCACTGGGTATGATCCTCAGCACCACATAAAAATAAATAAAATAAAGGCATTCTGCCCATCTACAAGTACAGAAAGAATTTTTTTTAAAAAAAATGTATATATAAAAGAAAAATCTCTACAAAAATAGTTAGGTGATTTCACTAACCATCATGTGCACATATTTAAGTTGTCTTGTAATATTAATAGCACAGCTCTTACCTAGCTAAGAAAGATGGCTGGTGACAGGAGCAGTTGCTGCTGGTGTGTAGATATGTCCTTGTTGTTAGTGGTGCAAGTAAGAGACTCATCCTTACAATATCAACAGGGTGGATACGGGAGCACCTGATGGACACCTTCCCAAGATGGGGTCAAGTCCTGTCTTGAGCAGCTTGAGGCAGACAAAGGCTTCATTTTTCTGTGATCCATAGGCCCCCTCCTGTTCAGTTTCGCCAGTTGGTGGGTTAGCTTTTGTGTGTTCTCTGTCAGGGATGAATCAAAAAACTTCTGTAACAAGCTGCTTTACTACTTAGGGACAGTGCACTAGGTGAGTGTGTTGAACAAGTTTTTGTTCAGACCCTGCTTCCTGCCCATGCTCCTCTACATAAGTACACTTTTCCCTTTCTTAATAAAACAGCCATTATTGTAAATAAAACTTGAAAAGAACTTGAAATCTATCCACATTGAGGGCAACTAGGCACCTTTCTTCTGCTAGCTCTACACCGATACCCAGCCGCAGGGCCTCTGGCCTTTACCTGAATGCAATTACCTGTTTATTCTTTTGTTTTCATTTTGTACCAGGGATTGAAGGCAGGGGCTCTTAACCACTTAGCCACATCTCCAGCCCTTTTTATTTTTATTTTGAAACAGGGCCTTGCCAGGTTGCTGGGCTGGCTTTGAACTCGTGTGATCCTCCTGCCTCAGCCTCCCAAGCCTCTCTGTGACTATAGGTGGTCACCACTGTACCCAGCTGATCACCTGTTTATAACTCAGAAGCTTCAGGCTGAAACTTGAGGCTGCTTGAGGCTTCAGGCTGGGTAGGTGTGGTGGCCTTTGTAAGTGTGGCCTTAGCCTGAGAAACTCTGCCACTCTGTGCCCTTCTGCAAGAGTTCTCCACTTGGTTCAGTTCCCCTCCATACTTTGCTTCCTTTCTGTAGCAGAGACTTTATTTTTATGTTAGTCAAGGAGGGGAGGGGAAGATGGGGAAAATTTTGATGGAAGAGGAGTTTTAAATATTGCTGGATCTGCCAGGTGCAGTTGCATGTGCCTGTAATCCAATCAGCTGGGGAGGCTGAAGCAGGAGGATCAAGAGTTTAAAGCCAACCTTAGCAACTTAGAGAGGCCCTAAGCAACTCAGTAAGACTCTGTCTCTAAATAAAATATTAAAAAAGCCTGGAGATGTGGCTTAGTAGCTAAGTGTCCCTGGGTTTAATCCCTGGTCCCAAAAAAAAAAAAAAAAAAATTGCTGGATCTGATTTTTCTTTAATCAGACAATACTGTCTCTTCACCTATTCTTAGTTTCTTTGAAGGAACTCAATTCCTGTTTTTTCACAGTAATCTGGAATTTGACATTATTATTTTGGCTGTGCTTAGCCTGTGATGGGCATATACATTGCTGAAGTTAGTGTCCCTAGATCTTTTAACTCTTTATAGAGAAACCCTCAGCTTCACATATTGGCCAATTAGGGTGAGGTTACCGCGTGCCTGCTTGCGTCAGAGCCTTGTAAACACAAATTTAATTATGGTCCAAAACTGATTTCTTGTGTTGTGCCCTGTGTTCCATTTGAGCAGGGAACATATTGAAAGTCTGCCTTAGTGCCAGCAAATTGGGAAGAACAGTCACTAGACAAAGCCAAGGGCAATTCAGAGATAGCAGAAAAATAGGAGTTTCTGGGCTTTATTTTTAATCACAGTTCACATGACAAATAGGTTAATAAACCAGCCTGTCTCCTGAGTTTGTCATGGGAACAAAGGGAGAGAAACCCCTGGGGAGCCGAGCCCTCTTGTTCAGCATCAACTGTCTTTGCCCCAGGTGTACCCTTCAGCCAAGCCGGGCACCAGGGTCCGTACCCCATATGAGGAGCAGTTGGAACAGCAGAGATTGGCGGCAAGGAGGGATGAGGAGGCCCAGCGGCTGCGAGAACAGCAGGAAGCTTTGCACCACCAGAGGCTGCAGGGACACTTGTTACGGCAGCAGCAGCAGCAGCAACTTCTGGCCCAAGAGATGGCCCAGCAGAGGCAAGACCAGCAGGAGGAGGACCAGCAGCGGCGCCAGGAGCAGCTACGGTAGCCTGTCCCTTCTCTCGATGGGCATAGAAGCCCCTCTCCCACTGCAAGCAGTTTTGTGTATTTGTGATTCAGGAACAGGAGGGGCTCATGTTGCTCATGTAGTCCAGGAGGAATTGAGAATTAAAGGGCAAATATTTAATTTTAAAAATAATCAGGTTTTTTTTCTTCTCTAAAGCGATAGAGTAAGTCTCAAAGTAGCTTAGAAGACTTTGTACTAACTTTTTAATTTTATCATTGAATGATGCTTTACCTTTTTAATGTATCTGTTGGAAGCATATCTAGAACTTTCATCATACTTTATCATGTACCTAAAAGTTCAAAAAAAAATTTATGGCTTTTTAAAAGATGTTGAAAAATCTTGTTTATTACTACCTTAAAAGATAAATGACTTTGTGTCAAACTGTGCCACTTAATTTGTATCCCTGAATATATAATGTTTGTGTCCCGGGCAGGCAGCAAGCTCATTATAATGCTATGGATAATGATATCGTTCAGGGAGCAGAGGACCAGGGAATCCAGGAAGAGGAAGGAGGTGGTAAGACTTCTCAGATGATGAATGTTTTAATAACATTACCTGGTTATATCAAACAATATCAGTGAGCCAGTGTTCCCTAATATCAACAAGCCAAATGCATACTTGAGTGAGGGCAAAGAAGTCATGCCTCTGTTGTCACTTCTTGAGTCTTCCTTGCCATAGTGCTCCATAGTTGTCTGGGTTTGGTCCGCAGTACCACAAAAAGAAAAGAGAACTGGTCAAGATAATCTCTCGTCTCCACTATTCTCCCCATCATTTAAGCTTCTTGCATATCAAATAGTTATTTCTGACAAATTATCACAGGATTATTATGCTTTGAGGAATTAATTCTACATTTTCTCCTGACCTTGGAAGTCATTGCCTTAAAAGTTTTTCAGATTAAATCAGCAGTGGCTTTCTCTCATGATAAGCGCCTAGTCATGCATTCCTTGCTGTGAAGATAGAATTGGAAGTTAATTCTCCTTTTCTAGAGAGAGTCTAAAAGTAAGATGACAACACCCCACTCAACAGCTTGTTGTGCACTTAGTTGCCCTGAGAGTCAAGAGCCCATTCCCTTTTGTCCCCTGTGGTGACTTTGAGCTTTTTGTTTCTGTTATCAGTAAAACTGTTGAGCAACAGTTTTTCCCCTTCTTTATTTAATTAACCCCTTTATGAACTTGTAGCCTAATAGTGAGCTATCAGTAACTATTGTCTTTATATTAAATTAAATGCTCTCCATACTCTTTTTTTGATTCTTTTTATTTTATTATTAGTTGTTCAAAACATTACAAAGCTCTTGACATATCATATTTCATACATTTGATTCAAGCAGATTATGAACTCCCATTTTTACCCCGTATACATATTGCAGATTCACATCGGTTACACATCCACTTTTTTACCTACTGCCATCCTAGTGTCTGTTGTATTCTGCTGCCCTTCCTATCCTCTACTATCCCCTCTCCCTTCTCCCATCTTCTCTCTCTACCACATCTACTGTAATTCATTTCTCTCTCTTGTTTTTCCCTTTCCCTTCACTTCCTCTTATATATAATTTTGTATAACAATGAGGTCTCCTTCCTTTACCAAGCAATTTCCCTTCTCTCTCTCTTTCCCTCCCCCCTCTCTACCCTGTTTAATGGTGATCATCTTCTCATGCTCTTCCTCCCTGCTCTGTTCTTAGTTGCTCTCCTTATATCAAAGATGACATTTGGCATTTGTTTTTTGGGAATTGGCTAGTTTCACTTAGCATAATCTGCTGTAGTGCCATCCGTTTCCCTGCAAATTCCATGATTTTGTCATTTAAACCTTTCCTCTTGTATCTGACTTTAAAAAAGTGATCCGCTCTTCTCCTGTGTGCTCTTAAAATTCTCTTCATCTAAGTATTTTTTAAAAAACTTTCCAGTTTTATGTGTGAGCATAACCGTGTGATGGCCTGTATTGTTGTGGTGTCCTTGTTGCCATAGTAGCGTCTGTGACAAGCCCTGTTTGTTTTTGAATTACACAGTTGAGATTGTTTTGTCTTTCATTTCCTAATGACACCCCCCAGCATACCCTCACTGGAAATTTTCCATTACCTTTAATATTATCCAAAAATTAATTGATTATTTTAGCAATGTCCAACGGTCTGGACTTTTCTTTTATGAAGGAAGTTTGATTTGTGGTCCTTTTCCTGCCGAAGGGGGAAATGTAGCTTGTTAGAAACATTATGCTGTCGTGTGTAACTGATTAGAACAAATAAAAAAAAATTGCTTTGGGAAGTTAGAACAGCAACACTTCCCCCCCACACCCCCACCCAACCCTTAGACACAGTCTGGGAAAAGGACAAAACCATGCAGGAAAGCTGTTGAGTTAACCGAGTCATGGGAAAGAGTGGGTGACTTAGACTGGTCTCCAGAGGCCTCCTGGAGGCTCTCCTTTGAGTTGAAAGGGAGGAATCCTGCTTGATTCTTTCAGCTGATTGTAGTTCCTTTGATTTGCTAGCCTATGAAAGAGACAACCAGCACCAGGACGAAGCAGAAGGAGACCCAGGAAATGGACAGGAGCCTCATGGACAAGGGCCCCCAGAAGCTGACCTGGAATCAGAGGCAGATGTAAGTATCCTCACTCCTGGATCTGCCACTTGGAAAGGCACAGGCAGAAAGAAACCTTAAGCATTTGTCTGACTCCGATGTCCAGCCCCAGATGTGCATGTCATTTCGTCAGCACACAGAGGGCTTTGCATAATTACCTATAAGCAGCACAGTTCACCCTCAACCAGGATGTAGGGGATGTGAGATGAGACGGGGTTAAAGGCTGTTTTGGGAAAAAATAATGTTGAAAGGTTTTCCCTTTGACACTTTTTAACTTAATAAAATTAAAACCTAGAAAAGTAAAATTTAGAGGCATTGAAATATGAGGTAATGCTGAAAAGATGGGAGGGGACGGGGCAAGCCAGCAAAGAAGTTGGAGAAGTTACCCTTTCCTGAGCCTGTCCAGTGGCCTGCCAGGGTATGTGGCATGTGACTCTGTCACCTCCCAATAGTCCAGGGACTATTTTAATAAATATGTTGGTGAAATATGTGGTTTCACTCATGAAAAGAAGTGCTCAAGTACCACAAGGGAGGAGAACATTTAAGTAGACATCTAACAACTGGCATTATTCTGTGTTTTCCAAAAAAGGAATGAGACCCCTGATTCACTTGGATTGTCTAGGGCTTTGACCTTGCTTATAAGGGAGATAAGCCAACATTGAGTGAGTGATCATGTGTTGTGTGTAGATGACGTTCACAACTTATTTTAATTTCCTATCACCTTTGTTGTTGTTGTTGTTGTTGTTGTTGTTAGGGATTGGACCCAAAAGCTCTTGATCACTGAGCCGCATCTCCAGATCTTTTTGTATTTGATTTTGAGACAGAGTCTCACTAAGTTGCTTAGGGCCTCACTGAGTTGCTGAGGTTGGCCTTGAACTGTGTGATCCTTCTGCCTTAGCGTCCTGAACTTCTGGAATTATAGGCATGCACCACTGCTCCTGGCTTCTTATCACCTTTTGCTATCATCTTTTGTTCTAGTAAAGCAGCCCCCTGTGCTTATAATATTCAATCCCTACTGCCATATGGATCCAGTTTATATTGATCCAGGGAATTGAAAAGAAGATCCATGTCCTTCCTTGATAATCACTGAGAGAGTCCTTCTGCTGGCCACTTTCAGCCCTTTTATGGAAATGGCTTTTCCACTTGACTCACAGAGCAGGTTTTTCTGCTGTACCCTCACTGGTATATAGGAAAGCATGCAGCAGAGACACAGCCCTGAAATATTGTCATGATAGAGCAAGGGTTAGAGAATGAGAGAGTGAGAGGCTGTCCCATGAGAGCAAGGAAGCAAGTGTGCATAGAGAGTGAAGGACAGTCACTTTGCTGGGAGTGGCTGGAGGCTGACTACTTGCCAGTGACCCTTTACTTTTCTTATCTCTCCACATTTTGGAGACATACTGGGAACACTGGTCTTTCTGTCATGCCTTCTTTTAATTAGAAGTTGTCAGCCCATTTGTCCCTCTTTGTCTTAGCTGTTTTATTTGAATTTAACTGTTTGTGCCTGTGAGCCCTCACTTATTACTTGGTCAGTCTTGGAACCATTGTGCACATTTTTAAGAACTATAGCAAGACATACTTAGTGATTTTTTTTTTTTCTGAAGAGAGGGTGCTGCTGTTTTCCTCTGTTCCCATACAGATTATTGCCAAAAATGAAGGAAATCTGTATGACAGGAGCTTATGGAGTAATTAGAAATTAGTGTAAAGGTGAGGATTTATCACTGTATTCCTGAGAAGAGTGTTATTTGCACTTGAATGAAGTTTACAGCCAGGGGTGTACAGATAATAGATCAGCTGAGAGCAATGAGTTCTTGAACACGTTCAAGGTTCTTCAGCAAAGTGAAGTACAATCTTGTCTGGAGAACACCAGGAGAGACTGAATCTTACTGCGTAGCTTCAGTGTCTCTCCAAAGCAATTGCCACTTCAGTAAGTGTCCTATAGATGACCTGGGAGGGATTGGGGACACTCAAAGCAAGCATCATCATTTCTGCCCTTCTCTGTTCCTAAAAGCTGAATTTTTGTTATGATGTGTGTTATTTGGAAGGTGCCTTGGGAACTTAAGTGGGAAATTGAAATAATTCTAAAGTTGATTGTTTGAAGGACATTTGTTGTCCCACAGTAACTGAGAACCACTCAAAGGTGGGTCTGGAGGTATATTTTTTTGTAATATGTTGCCAAAGATTTTCTCCTATCCCTTGCCAGTGTAGTCTCTCTCAGTTTCATAGTGGTGTTTCTTAAGGAAGAAATAGTTCAGCCAGGTGCTGTGGAGCGCACTTGTAATCCCAGTGATTTAGGGAGCTGAGGCAGGAGGATCACAAAGTTGAGGTCACCCTTGGCAACTTGGTGAGAACCTGTCTCAAAATACAAGATGAAAAGGGCTGGGGATATATAGCTCAGTGGTAGAGCACTCTAGGGTTCGATCCCCAGTACCAAAAATATAAAAAATGAATGAGTGAATGAATGAGAAAGAAGGAAGGAAGGAACATGGTCCATACTACAAATACACCATTTTCTGTAGAGTTAGTACTTTTCTTGGCTTGGGTCTTCTCAGAGGTAGAGATCTTCCTTCCCATCAGCTGCTTTTCACTTACTTACATGTTTAAAATCGCTTGAAAGAGAGTTTTGTATAAAAATCAACATCACCATGAAAAGAATTACCACTTCACCTATCTAAGTCTCCTGTATACATTAGCATTGATTGTTTTTTTTCCTCCCACTTGGTTTTCCAACTTATTAGCTGTTTTGCTGGTTGTCTGTGTAGTTTTGTTCACATTTCTTGGTTTGCTAGTGTTTGGAAGACTGTTGGAATAACTTGGCAGAAAGGAAGCACCGTTTATCCTTCCTTCTGATTCCTCAGCCTCTCACAAGTGAAGCAGGAGTTCTACCTTGTGACAGTGGGGTGCTTGGTACTTGTGAGCGCTGGCAGGGACAGGGATGAACGATGCAGTGAAGGGTGATTTCATTTTCTGCCAGTGTGTGGCCTTTCAAATGAAATTAAACTTGATCCTCTGTTTTGAAGTGGCGGATGGTTTTTATTAAAATTTTACAGCGGGCAGCTGTAGAGGATATAAACCCAGCAGATGACCCCAATAATCAAGGCGAAGATGAATTTGAGGAAGCCGAACAAGTGAGAGAAGAAAATTTGCCAGATGAAAACGAAGAGCCAAAACAAAGCGATCGAAAGCCAGGGAACGCAGACATGGAGGAGCATTTGGTGGTAAGCAGATGCCACTACCAAGGGTGGATTTAACCTGAGCACTTTAGTAAATGCCTGGTTTATGTAAAAGGTTAGTCCTAATCTGCGCTGAGAGAAGGTTTGCCACTCTAGTGGTTTCGAGGCCATTATGTGAAACGACATGCCTGCACTCAGGGTAACAGACACCCTGTGCTTTGTGTTAGCAATGATTATTCATCATTTCCTGGCCACCAGTGCATTGTGAGTGCACTGTTCATGGTGGCATGCTTCTTCTTTGTCCCCGAGTATTATAGAAGGCATCTCCAATGTACAGTAACATGAGCCTCCCCTTTTGTTTCAACAGATGGCAGGAAATCCAGACCAGCAGGAGGATAATGTTGATGAACAGTACCAGGAAGAGGGAGAGGAGGAGGTAGGAAGATTGAATGCAGGAGGCTGATCAAGTTGTTTGGTCTGTCACACCAACCGTAAACAAACCCTGGCAGTATTGACTCTGACATTCCTTCCAGAGAAATGTTCAGAAAGACTTAGGCAGGGTACTACGAAAGGGTGGCTTAAGAGGAAATGAACCATGACAGTGGAGACTACTTTTGGTTGGAAGGTAACAAAGCCGGGATGATAGAATCAATCTCTGATTCTCACCAGAAATTTCAAATAAAGCTGACTTTCCAGGAACAGCAGACAGATTTATGTGATCTTCATGAGAACATTTTCTCATGTCTCTTTCCATCACAAAGCTCTGCACCTTTGAGGGAGTATGGATTGACCCTGTCACTTTCTCTGGGGGACATGTCCCCTGAGTCTGCCTCACAGGGATACCCCACAATGTCAGCTGGAATCCATGTTAACACCTGCCAGACATTTTTATTAGTTTTATAATCTTTCCCTCTGACCCCTTCCCTCATAAGACTTTAGTATCTTAATTAAGTTCAACCAAAACAAGGTCTGGGAAGGCAACCAGACCTTCAGGAAGCCGAACAAGTGAGAGAAGAAAATTTGCCAGATGAAAAAGGAGAGCCAAGACTAAGCAATAGAAAGCCAGAGAGCACAGACATGGAGGAGCATTTATCACCGTTCTCCGGGACAGAATACTTATCTAGTATACATGGGGGCCTGGATTCAATTTCCAGCACCACAAAAACAGTGAAGAGAAGGGGAAGTATTGGAACTGTTTTGAATAAAATGCTTTTAGGTAGGATTTCTTAATAATTTCATTTTAGCTTGTAAACTTCTGGCATATTATCATTAGTTAGCATCTATGGTGATGCCACATTCCTGTGCTCAATCAACTGGCGAAGGCTATTTGCTGCAGCCTTTTTTGCCATGGCTTTCTCCTACCTGGACACTTGCAGTACTTGGGAATATGATGGAACATGATATGGATCAGGCCTTGACCCCACGTTTAGTCTCACTCAGGACCAGTAAGTAATTCCTGGATGAAATGCCTGGTTCAGAGCCACTCATCAGCCAGGTGTCTTGCAAATGCATGGCTTTATCCCTAAGGGAACCTCTGGGGAGGTTGACCATGACCCACTGAAGAAACACGCCCACCACTGGACATCCTGTTCAGGAAGCATGTGCTCAGCATGCACTCAGTTCCCTGGCCTGGGTCTGCGTTCTTATTTTTACTATTTGCAGCTTCACGGAACTAATGCTAAAATCTGTGCTTATGCCAGGAAGACAGAAAAGAGTGTTGCCCTTTAATGGCCAGTGGCAACATCTCAAGTTATGTTCTGTCTAACAGGCTTGATCTTTCTATTCTCTATCTTTTTTCATCCTGCTGTTCATCTTAATCAAGACTCTGAGCTGTCTTATCAGAAAGAGAACATTAGAGAAGCCGCAGCCTTGAATATTAAGACATTTAGCAAGAAGAAGATATTCATCTGGGCTTCTCTGGTAACAGGATGTCTAGACTAATATTACTTTGTTTCATTATGTCAGATACCAGGAATCTTTGAGGGATTAAGAGAAAAGGGTTCACCTTGGCTTCTTTTTAAAAATTCAGAAGGGTAAACATAAAAATTTAATCAGTATTTACTGATTCTTTTTCACTTTTGTATTATGATCAGGTAAGGTGGAAGAGAGAAATCCGGAGATCCCGTAGGGAGCAGGGTAGAAAAACAGGAATCACCAAGGCAAGGGGCAGGAGAGAGTGACAAGGCAAAGGAGGCTGTGCCTACCCAGTGCACCCTGAGGTTCAGCAGCCCCTCCCACCAGGTCAGCTGAATTGACAGGGCTGTTTTCCCCTTGTTACACCAGCCCCAGGTTCTAATTCTTTTGCTTTGTTTATTCCCTGCCCAGAATTCTTATAATAGTGTTTGTCCCAGCTTTCTAAGCCTTCTTGCATAGGCTGCAGGTTGCCACCCTTCATTCAAGACTATTCCCAGGTGAATGTTCCAAGGAGGCCCTGTGAACCTTTCTACTTCCCAGTGTCACTTTCCTCCTGTCCCCTGAACATCCCTTGTTCAGGAGGAGTTGTATTTTTCTGGTCTTTCCTGAAATGATTAGTTTTTGCATCTTTCCATCATTCCTAGGTCATATTCTGTAGAGGGGGGAGAGAGATGGTTGCCAAATACCAATTGAGCCCTAGTGATAATTCATAGCTGAAGCACTCAGCAAACTGTGGTTAAAATGAGAAAAATTAATTAGAAGCACCCATGGTATTGTTTATAATTGTATGTGAATCTGAGACAATATTTTTGGAAGCACTTTGAAAGCCATTTAATGCTGAGTGACTGCATGGTTCTCATCTCCAGTAAACCTGGCCACAGGGCTGTAGGGCTGCAGCGGCCTTCAGTTTCCTTCCCTCCCAGCCTGCAGCCAAACTCTAGCTGCCAGCATTTGCTCCTCAGGAGGAACTGTATCTTGCCAGTGGAGAACCTGTTCAGAGGAGGAGCCATCAGACTCACAAATCTGAACGACGAGCAGGTCACCCAAAACAAGTGTGCTTTTAGGAAATTTGCTCTATCCTTGTTTGGTTTTGTTTCTTTGGTTGTTGCTGTTGTTGTTGGTATTTAAATCTTAGTGCAGCAGCATCGTCTAAGACATAAAAATTATGATTATTGACCAGCAATCCTGATTTATTTGTTTAATGTCAGGGTAAAGGGCACCATAATGTCCTCTTCATATTGCTTACGTCCTGCATATTTTATCTACTTTTCAGCAAATAGGACAAGTTATCACATAGGCAAAAAGTGCTGTGTTATACTTCAGAATTATCTGAATGCTAAAATACATATATATAGATAGAGTGAATGCTTGAAAACTTGGAATGCTTTCATTGCTCAAACGTAGCAGAAAACAGATTAATCTGAACACTCAGGAAAGAGCAAGTCCAAAGTTATTTGCTCACCTTCAGTGACCAGCTATGTATACTTACCAACCCAGACCATGGCCTGGGACTCCCTAAGTTAAGAAGCTTCTGATGGGTGGAAACTCTTCCATTTAGCATGGCCTCTCAGGCAGTGGTGTCCTTCATTCTAGCCGACTTTGCCAACGACTTCCTTGTCACATGCCGGCCGTCTGCCTCATTGGATCCTAGCATTCTTGACTGCTCAGAGTTTAGCCAGCTAGTGCCTGGCTCATCCCACAGTGTCTTCTGTGTGTAAACAAAGGTGTCAGCACACTTGGCTGGGACCCAGTAGCTAGTGAAAGCACATTTTAGATTTAGTGATTTGGTTTGTTTTGTTTTGGCCATTTACTAAACTTTTCCTTATCACATAAGGTTCATTTCTCAAATGCCTGAAACGTTAGATTCCAGTGGAGGAACATGAGTAATGAGGACCCCTATGGGAAATCTTCAACAGAGTCGGTATAGCAGACGTCATTGCTGCATCTGCGCTATCAGACAGTAACACAGGGTGCCTCTGCTTTTGTCAAAGGGTATTTTAAAGGTCAATTAGAAATGCCACGCCATTCTTTTCAGTGATGCCTTTAAGATGAGTTTGAATTACTTTTACCCCAAACATTTAGAATATCTTATTAAAATAATGTGAATATAAGACTCTGTTTTTATATACTTGTATATGGCTGGAAAATTACAGTGTTCATTTGTGGATGGATTCCCTAAATTAAAGAGTAAATTAAATCAGTGGTTCTCAAGAATATACTGATAACTGGTAAACAAGCTAAGTGTTTTATAATAGGTGCCAAGAATGAGAAAACAGGCTTCAGAGAAGGAAGATTATTCCCCAAGCTGGAGACATTCTTAACCCAGCATCTTAAGGAAATAGTTCTCTGTCTTTTACTATGACCAAGAACCACTTTTTTTTTTTTTTTTGGTACCAAGGTTTGAACCCAGAGTTGCTTTGCCACTGAGCCACATCCCGTCTTTTTAACTTTTTTATTTTGAGACAGGATCTTGCTAAGTTGCTTAGGACCTTGCTAAATTTCTGAGGCTGGCTTTGAACTCACCATCCTCCTGCCTCAGGCTCTTGAGCTGCTGCTGGGATTATAGGTGTATGCTATGGTGCCTAACCCAAGAATCTTAGTGAAGAGTTTGTGAAAAATACAAATCCCTGGATTAAACCCTGCTCTAGGAAATTTTGGATCTTCTCTGTTGTGGGGCTTGGAATCAGTTCTTCAGAAGCCCCTTCTCCATCCCCAAGATGATGCTCATATTTCAGGAACACCTTATTTAGAGGTAGACAATGGTGGAGGACTTGGGGAAGTGTAACCCCCTGAACATTTATGCAGAATGCTGTGTCCAAGCACATTTGCTAAAGCATTTTTTGTTTCAGTCTTAAAAGCATCTATTGTTGTGGGGCAGGTCACTCAGAAAACATACCAAGTCCCAGTTTTGTCCAAATTGAAGAGTCTTTATATAGCTAGCCAACCAGCGACTGCTCCCTGCAGGACCCATTGCTGTTTCTCTGCAAGGAACAGCCCCAAGCCTGAGCATTTTAGGATATTTAAAGGCAAAAACTATATCTGGGTTGACGTAGCTATAAGCAAACACATACAGAAGCTGGATTGGGCAAGTAGCAAGACAATGCAATGGATACATTGGTATTTTCCACTGGACTTTCCAGGTTGGCATAGCAGCAAGCAAGCAGAATGGAAGTGGGACAAAATGACCCTAATTCAGTACAAGTTAGAGAATGGTTACTAACTTCTAGGTACATTGCCCAAGAAAAATGGAAAACAAAGAGAACAATTTTACATTGTATAAAAATTATTATTTTGTGTTGCCAAGTATGTTATGCTAGGTAACTATTAATGGGTACAGAGGTGGGGCTTTCCCACAGGAAAAGCATTTCTTACATGATATGGGGTCTCAGGGTAAAATAGAGTCTGTTTGGTCATTGCCTATATCACTAAGATTCTTAAACCCTATACCCAGCCCTTTTATTTTATACATAAGATATTTTAATCTTCAGAGAAGTTAGTTGAATTTTTCAAGGTCCCATAGCTTGTTATTTTGTTGTTAGAATCATACTTGAAGCCCCCCGCCCCCACAGGTCTGACTTCAAGGGATGTCATTTTTAAGTGCACCAGGCGTGATAAGTGTATAGTTAATGTGGGAGAGTTCTGTATAGAAATTGGTAGATGCAGAAAGAAGGATGAAATTAGAAACTTGGTATTTTTGTAACTCCTAATTAAAGCCATTGATTTAATCATTAATCATCAATGGTGTTACTATATAAACAAGGTACTTTATCAGGGACAGATCAGACTATCACCATGTGAGCTCACTGACTGACCTTAGCCTTACTAAAAGTAGGACAGACATTATGTGTTTCCTGATGTGATGAAAATGTGAAATATTCAGCATCTTGAATTCTGACTAACTCATATTCAAGTTAAGTTTGATTTATAGAAAATATGAGGACTAGAGAAATGAGTGAAGTGATACCATACAGAAGCAAATGAATCCAAAATGTGGGTGCTTCTATAGAATAAGTCAGTAGCATCAAGATAAAAATAATGGAGGGAAGCCCATGTTATGCGTGGACTTTGAATCATGATTAGAACAAATCAAATGTAAATATGCATTATTGAGACAATCAGAAGAGTGTCATCAGATGATGCCACAGAATTATTGACTTTATCATGTGCTTTTAGCATTATGTTTATATAAAAAGGAGTCCATTTCTTTTAAAGGTGCATACCTTGACATGTAAGGGTAAAATTACATGATATCTAGAAATCTTAAGAATAAATAATTGAAAAAATAGAAAAGTGATAGACAGTGGAAGTGTGGCAATATTGAGACAGTTGGAGCCTTGGAAGTATTTATAAAACTTTTATTGAATGATTATTTGCACACACTTGAAGATTTTCATAATAGAAAGTTGAACTTACTGGGGGTTTTTTAATTGTTATTTTTTTAAATTGTTGTATATAGACACAATACCTTTTTTTTATTCATTTATTTTTATGTGGTGCTAAGGATCGAACCCAGTGCCTCACCCGTGCTAGGCAAGCGCTCTACCACTGAGCCACAACCCCAGCCCAACATTATTGTTTATATAGACAGAAAGCTGCAGGGCTGAGGCTTTGGTGCAGGTCTGTCTCCACAGAGTATGTTAGGAGGTAGCAAATGCAAGCTGCAGCCTATTTTGTAAATAAAGTTTTATGGAGCACAGCCTTGCCTCTTTGTTGACACCTTGTTTATAGCTGTTTTTGTGCTATACTGGTGGAGTTGTGCAGTTGTGACAGAACTTATGGCCCAGAAAGACTAAATAATTACTGTCTGGACTTCGCTGCCCCAGATTTATGTACTCTTTCCACCATACTGCATAATTTTGAGGCAATTCTTTCCTACTCTCAACTACACCATGTTTAGTGTTCACAAATTGAACTTTCATTATTACCCACATGGAAGACATCTTTGTTCATCAAAATACACAAGGATGCTTAAGCAATTTAACGTTTCAATTAGACCTTAATGAGGTCTGAAATAGGTGCTTCATTGTCTTCATTCCAATGTCCTGTGGGACATTGCTGTGAAGTTCTGTGACAAATGGCAGAAGAGAAGTCATTGGACTACTGATTGAGCCATAGGGTGAAACAAGGGTATCCCCAGCTTACTTCATCAGGAAATGTCAATATAGAGATGCTCTCTGCCTCTTTCTTCAAACTGTATTATTTGAAACCAGTTTCATTTAGGGGATGACTTCTATATGTCATCCCCATTAGCCAAATGTCTTCTAATCAGTACTGGGGGCTGATTAGAAGAGATTCACGAAGAGTTGGCTCTGTCTAAGGCATCTTTGAAGAGTCACCTTTGTAGGCTCCCAAAAGTCCACACTGTATCCAAAGATCTGGAAGTCCAGCTACCTTGAGGCAGCACTTGATTTGCTCCTGCTTAATTATAGTATCTGCTTACTTTCCATCCCTTGCCCATTTCTCAGATTTTCAACAACCACTACTCAACTCTTCCCCAAAAAACATGTATTTTTTTTTTTTTAACCCCAGAGGACTTTTACTCCCATACCATGATCCTGGTCTATACCAGGACACTACTTTATGCCTAACTGTGTTCAGCAGTTTTTTTAAAAAAAAAAAAAACATTAGAATGACCTAGACCTTTTGGTGTATGTGTGGTTTTCAAACTAGTTAGCAAGTTAGAAAATACTTTATCTTGTATTTCTGTGATATATAGTTATTAAAGAGAGATTATTCAGTAAAAATTTAGATCCTTTTTTTGATTTGCATTTTGAGATAAGCAGTTGGGATCAATGAAACAGTAATAGTGGTATGCATAAAGGAAAACTATTTAAAACGGATGCTGTGTTAAAACACTAAATGGAGATAGGGATTTAAACTAGTTTATTAGACTACTTCATACAGAAATTGAAATGATTGTGTTCTTTTTTCTGGGTATTTAAACGTGAGAGGTTTGTCCTCTTTTTTTTGGTATATTTGCCATTTTTATTAGTATCTGACAAATTACATGAAGAGAACAGAATTTTTGTCCATGAATAACTCAAGCATCTCAAGAGAACCTGACTTCTATATGTCATCCCCATTAGCCAAAAGGGTGAACTTATTTTCAAATTGGAATACATTGAAATATATAAAAAAAAAAAAAAGAAAGCTGAACCCAGGGCACTATGTCCCATGTTCTGTCACTGATATACCCAGAGAACAGACCCATCAATTTTCTATTACTTTGAATATAGACAGTGGTATCTTTTTTTGTGCTTTTATGGGGATACTTTTTACATTGGTTTATTCAGTAACTCATTCATTCAACGATATTTATTAAGCATTTCAATGTGCCTTTTGTGCATCTGATTACTGAAGACCATGCATTCTATTAGAAGGTTCCTGCCTTCATACAACTTACTTTCTGTCAGAGCTTTCAGAGTTCTGAACAGTTCTCTCATTTTTCAAAGAGGGACCTATACTTTTATAAGCTGGAATTTCTTCAGGTGTTATCCTTGCAGAGTTAACTCTTATTCAGAGAAATCAGAAACTCAAACAAAAGGTCAGACCGAGAATCTGTCACATTGATCTTCGTGATAGGTGTATTAAACATTTCCTCATCCTTAATAGACAAGTCAGACTTGTGACTTACTTTTTTTTTTCAAATTTACTTCTAGTGTAATTTTGTTCCTGCTATTTCAAATGAACTTTTTGGAAATCAAAACATGTCGCTTCAGGTGTTGAAACGATGAAAGCATCACATATTCTTTGTGGTTTGCTTTAGGTTCAGGAAGATTTGACCGAAGAGAAAAAAAGGGAACTGGAGCGTAATGCTGAGGAGACCTATGGTGAAAATGATGAAAACGTATGTTCAGGATAATATATTTCTACTGAGTGTATATGAGTGTGTGTATGTACACGCATGCACTAGGTAGGATGTACATATGTGTAGTTGGGACAGGCACCAGTGGAGGATACCTGTAAGGTGCCCCTGAATTGAAGAGGTCCACCTAGAATTAGGAGACTGACCACATGCCAATGAGGAGAGGCTGTAGCACTGTTGCCTCTACGATCATTTTTCTTCCCTTTCTCCCAAAGTGAATGAATTATTTGCACCTTGTTTGTTTTAGGGAGAAATTGTCGATCACTTGCTCTATTCCCTATTTCTTAGTTTTTCTTTTTTCTTTTAATGTTAAGGCTGATGATAAGAACAACGATGGAGAAGAGCAAGAAGTTAGAGAGGACAACCGCCGCAAAGGTAGAGAGGAACACTATGAGGAGGAGGAGGAGGAGGAGGAAGATGGGGCTGCCATTGCTGAGAAATCCCATCGCAGAGCTGAAATGTAGCTGTGCCCAACTTCCGGACAGTGCTCAGCCAACAAATTTTTTTCAAGCTGCTTCAGAATCTGCCTACTGAACTCTAGGATATTTAATTACAAAAAATAAAGAATTTAGACTTTTTTTAACTTTTGTATTAGAAATGCTCATACATTTATATGAATATATTTTGATAACGTAGGGTAGAACTTTTATATACAGGCTAATCATGACCAAGAAGAAAAACAGTAAAGCATACCTTAGGCTCTGAATCTCATTTCTCTCAAATCTGTGATGTTGGAAAGAGCACTGCTTTGGTGTATGTTTCAACTTGTTACCTTCCTGTCTACTAGTTTCAAGGTGTTCTTTCATTTGCCTTTCATATAATACAGGATTGAAAAAACAAGACATATTGCAAAGTGCTGTGCAAACTCTAAGGCAGATGGCTAGTTTTACTGATTGCTGCTCTTCTGAGGCTCTTGTGTATAATTCTGGTAGAGTTTTCATCAGTCTGTGTATCTCTGGAATGAGAGCTCTATACAGAGTGACATACAGATTTCAAAATGGAAAGCCATTTTTGTTGTTGTTGTTGTTGTTGTTGTTGCAGGGTAAATGTACCATTTTTCAAGCATTTCTGATCAGTTAAGAAAATGTTTGGTGTTACTTCAAATCACAACTGTTCTGCTTGAGGGAAATCAAGCTTCAAAGTGAGATGCTATTAAGACTTGTATGGCAGTATCATGTACTTAATTTGGTATTTCAGTGTTCAAACAAGGTGTAACAGACACATCATTGTATCCACAATTTTGAAAGACAAAACTTGCCTAAAAAGAAAATTGATGTGTGTGTGTGTTGTTTTATACATAAGCACCTGTTCACGATATTTTTTTCTGAAGTCACCTAATGATATCTGTCTTTCAGTATCTAGTTCCTCACCACAGTATGTATTTCTCCCTTAAGCTCTGTGCCTCAATATACAATCACTTTGATGCCAATTATGAAAATGAAGGCATACCAAACTGTACAACTTCATAGGATTATTTTTCAAAATTATGTGGTGAAATATATACACAGTGATAAGATAGGCCCTTGTGGCTTTTCTACTTGCTGGGCACCAGCATGCTTTTTGCTAGTTTAATGACTATGAATTATAAAAAATCCCATAAAATAAGGAAATTAAAAGTCAAAAACTTCCCCTGAAATAACATATTTCAGTTACAAGCATAAATATTTTTAAATGTATAGAACTAGGTCATATAATTCATGTGTGTGGTTTTTAAAATAATACTTTCAAAGTAATAAAAACAAATTTCATTTTCTACCACTATTATATGAATGTAATTTTATTTTTTAATAACCACACTCATGTATGGTTTTGATTATCCCAGCTGAGCAATTGTGTATGTATGCATAGGAATGTTTTGTTCAAATGTATTTTGGATTTCCAATGATGATGAATCAAATCTTACCTTTATGTATAGAAACCCTTTTATGTAATGTAAAATGTATAATATTGTACATAATATTCAGAATACAATTATTTTGGTAAATTAGTTTGTATTTTTAATGTCCCAGTTGCAGTATTTAATTATTTGAAACATATTGAAACAGGTAATAGTCAATAAAGCTCTAAAAAGCAAGTGCTAAATCTTTTAAAATGTGTGATTTCTTATTAGTTTCTGATCTATCATTTTTCACTTTTTCATAAAAAATATTTTTAGAGATACTGATATGAATTAATGAGTTATAAAATGCCTTCCTCCCCCCATTTCTATTTTCCTTATCTTTTTCTACTTGGATTGACAGTTGGATTTTTCCCCCCTTACATTAAAAATAGAGCTCAAATTTTATTGTATCAAGTTAGTTCTGGGAGGAAAAAAAAAGAAATGGACAGAAAATATATGGTAGTGTCACGTATACACACACAATTAAAAAAAATATTAAATCCCTCAAGGAAGTAGCAGTCAGAACCTTTCTGGTCAATGTATGGCACCATGTTGGGGGCCCTTGTAACCAATGTTTACAGGAGAACTAAGACTGAGCTGACCTGTATTAATAGCTGATAATACCACTTGTATTTATCCTGCCAATTAATCTGTGACTTTGGTGCAACTGGAAGTCAAAAGATTTGGTATCAGTGACAATCAGCAGAAGGGGGAAAAACAACATCAACCTCTATTCAAACATAATAACCATTATCTTAGCCACGGATACCAGTGACTCATTCTTATGAAGGAAAATTATTTGAATGCGTTGAAAGTCTTCAAAGTACAAGGAGTGTATGAAGTGCTAGCGAACCAGGCTGATAATATAAACCCTTTTACTGGATCATCTTTGTCAAGCACATTCTAACATCTTGGTAAACAACCTTGACCCTAGCCTCTGGTTGGAAAAATTGACTTAACCAGAGCCAATCATTGGACTTCATCTCTCTGAAAAGAAGTACATGATCAGTTTAGGCACTTGACCCCCAGTCACATCAATTTGATTTCCTTCTCTGGGATTGTTTTGCTGGAAGGCAATCTATAGTATTCCTACACACTGTAGGACAATTCTTATCCTGGACTACCTGAAAGGACCCTTGCATAGCAATCCTCCTTGGAAGCTAGAGATATTTCCCTCTGTGTCAAAGAGCAGATTGATTCTCTGATTTGGATAAAGAAGACGATGTCTCCCTTCAGTACAAAACCTGAATAGGTTTGCTAGCATTTCACTTTATGAAATGAAGGTTTCCTGAGATCTGGGATCCTCCGCTATGACACAAGCCCATTGTGAACATTCACTTATCCCCATGACACTTGTAAACCAAAGGAACTGATGTGAACACAAAGCCTATGCTACCTGCTGTATCTTGAGCAACAAATCCTTTGTTTCTGCCTGAACAGACTAGTCCTTCTGCTAACATTTGGAAACTAACAGGCTAACTCATTCAATTGCTATGTGGGTAAAACATTACCCTCACAATGCTTTGTATTCTTACAGGCTAGAACAAATAGAAAATAGCCCCTCATATTTCCTCTCCAATGGAAAAGCTTTTGTTTCATGAATCTAGCTTCCAGTGCTCATTTACTTAATTGTATGGAGAAAACAGTCAACAAGTGAAGTAGTGAAAAAAATCTAACCCATGAAAAGAAGCAAAAGGTAGAAGCAGAGATAAAAGAGCTGTGGCATTTTTCCAATCCCAGATCTCTCTATAACTAACGCCATCCCAGGCTACTTATAGGTTGTTTTATGTTATGGTCTGAATTTGAGGTATCCCAACCAAAGCTCCTGTTCATGCAGGAAATTCAATGGTAAAATTATTAGATTATGACACCTGTAAACTAATAATTCCGTTCTCATTTGAATGGACGAATTGGGACATAAGTGTAGACAGGTGGGGCATAACTGGAAAAGGAGGGTCACTAGGTGTTTGCTCTGGAAGGTTCATCTTCCTGGCAGCCCCTTCCCCATTTATTTCTCTGCTTCCTAACCCCGCCATGAGGTGAGAGACTTTCCTCTGTGGGCCCTAACCCTCGGGATGTGCTGCCTCACTTTGGGCCCAGTTCATAATGGGGTTGGCCATTTATGAACTAAGACCTCTAATACCATGAGCCCCAAATAAACTTCACCTCTTCTAAGTTGTTCTTGTCAGGCATTTTGGTCTTGGTGATGAAAAAACTAAAACAGTTGATGAGCAAAAAACTTTACTTCATACTTTGACCAGTTACAAATGAATTTCTGTTACTTGCTACCTGAAGATTCCTGACTGATAGCAGATAATATTTAGCTCCTTCAAATCATGCTCATTTGTATCATGGTACATCTGCAAAATAATGTCCCCCAGAAACACTGTTGATCCCTTTATTCACTCTTTGTTGCTTTGCCTGGCTGATTGCTTTGGTTTCAAATAGTGATTCCTCTGGTAAGAGGGAAATTCAACTCACTTGGATGTCCAGGTTGAATCCCTGCTCTGTCTTCCCATAGTATTTGCACATCCATTTCATATCACAGGGTACGAAAGCAGCCTATAAACTTGTCTATTTTCTCCAAGCCATATATGATTTGAGAGGGTCAAGACATACTGTTCATTGCTGTATTCTAACTACTGATGTACAGCAGATCTTCAATAAATGTTTATTTAATTGAATGTCTTATACTTCTTCTCTAAGTACAATCTTGATTGCTTCAATAGCATACAACAAATTAGTGGCAGAGCTAAGAATTCTTTCCAGGTAAATCTGATTCTGCCTTTAATTCCAAATATATGCAGGGTCATTTGGATTATTGTTCTGTGTTACATTCTGAGATTCATGTGTTAAGAAGGTGTGCGTTAAATTTTACAGTAACAAATCTTTAGAGAGTCAAAAATAAGTGAAATCTCAACCACAGAGTCTTGAGGAGGAACTAAGAAACTGGAATAAGCTGATCAGAGAAAGGGAAAATCAGAGCAATTTGTAGCATTGTATGTCTGTCCTTGAAGCTCAATTGAAGGACGAAAAATAAATTATTCCTTGAGAAACAGATGATGAAGCTATGAAATCAAGATAGGTTTTCAAATCAGAATATATTTAATAATCAATTATGTGTCAGGAGAGGCCTGCCAAAGTTGAAGAACAGGTGCAACATCCTCTTTGAAATTCCTTTGACTCTTTTTGGTGCATTATGGTTACACATAAAAGTGGGGTTCATTATAACATTCATACACATAGAACAATCTTCTCTATTTCCTAGTAATAGCTCCTTCCTTCCACTCCTCCCTCAACCTGATTCCCTTCTTCTACTCCACTGATCTGGATGAGAGAAATGCCCTCTGGCTGCTTGGATTGTGACATGAAGGAAACACATCCTGAGCTGTCAAAAGTCCATACTTTTTATTTATTAATTTATTTTTTATTAATTTATTTTTAACTGATGTATTACAGTTATATATGTACAACTGGAGTGCATTGCCATATATTCATACATACGCATAGAATAATTTGGTCAACTTTATTGCCCATTTCTTCCCAGTTGTCTCCCCTCCTCCCTTCACCTTTGTCCTCTGCTCCTAATCTACTGTTCTATTTTCTCAAGATCTCTGTTTTTTTTTATTATTTCTTTGTACTCTTTAACTTCCATATATGAGAGAAGACATTTAACCTTTGACTTTCCGAGTCTCCCTTTGACTCTTGTGCTATGAAAAGGCCGTTGGATATGGGGAGTGAGCTCTGCGCTTTTGTCTGCACACCACCTGCTTTTCTGTTCTTTATTTGTAGCAGATCCTGGTACCACAGGAGTGGGCCCAAGACCTGAGCTAGATCAAACTTTTGCACCCCTTATATGAGGTCATAGGAAAGGAGGGATAAATCCCCAAATAGCCTTGCAGCCTCTTGCTTTGGGATTTCTTCATAAACCTGGATGAGAGAAATAGCCTTCGGCTGCTTGGATTGTGGCATGAAGCAAACACATCCGGAGCTGTCAAGAGTCCATACTTTTATTCTCATAGAGAAAACCCAATTGCAGCAGGAAAACATTAGGCCAGCACAGAAAAAGGAGCAGGAATGTGGAAAAGGAGGAGGAGAAAAACATAGTAGGAAAATGAGAAACAAGAGACACAAGAAAGCGAATCATGTTCAGATTCCCAGAGTCTGATGCCATTTGACTATTTGCCAATAAATTCCCAGCTCCCCCTCCCCACCCCACCCCTTTTTTTCTTAAGCTAGTTTGAGATTCTTAAACAGACTAAAGAAAATTGAGTTCAGCACTATTTTTTTATGAGGAAGAATCATATTAGCCTGACAAAGGTGCCACAGTCTGGCTGGGCACAAAATCACGAGCCACTCACAGCCTGTTTTTCTGATCAGTTTTATTTTTTGACTGTGGAGTTTTTAAACATTGCAATGGAGATTTCACCTGTGTAAAGCTACAAGGCCTTTACTATTGTCTTATGTGTTGTACGTTTGTGTGCACTCTTGTGTTTTGTGTTGTATGTCTATATGTGCATATGTCCATAGATCATATATGAGAAGTGCTCATGAAAAAATGGATCTGAATTTTTTTATTCAAGTGATTTAAATGGTTTAATTTAAATTAGATAAACAGCTGTTAAGGATTGTTTTTAAAGGAGGTTAACAGATCTGTTTGTTACTTTCACCTTTCCTTTTCATTATATTTAATAATTCTGTTCAGGATAATGTCTCTTTAGCATCATTGCCAGAATTCCTATCTTCATCCCAGTGCCGGTGAAGACAAAGATAAACCAAACTACAGCTTCTATGATAGCTATCACAGTAAACTGTATAAACTGATGCATCAATGAGTATAACTCAACAAGTAATGCTCAATCAAAGAGTCAACTTACTTTGGGAGGAAATGGACATATTGATAGACTCCTCTGCTTTGAACTGCTTGCAGAACTTGCCTGGACTATGTATCACTTGTATGCATTGTGAACTATTGTTTGGTGCAGCGAATTGTGGTACTGCTGGCATATCTTTGCTGATGGTATCACCAGTGATGCAGTTTTTCCAAAGGAGCCGTCAATTGGCTTGGTGTCGTGGCATTTCTGTATCCTCCTCCCTTCTGCTAGTGATGGTCTAAAATTTGGGGGCCAACAGAGGTGAGGCAAAGAACCTCACCCCCCACTGGCACCAAGGCCAAATTTGGGGGCCAACAGAGGTGAGGCAA